ACACTTCACTCTTTTAAAATTAATAAGAGTACGAAATATTATTATATACTAATTAAAGTGTTATATTTATTACTTCTTAGCATTCAACATTTGATTTGTTTGATTTGTTTGAAGCAGTCAGATAATTTTTTTGTAGCAAAGTATGAAAGTTGGTTGCATAATTTTTTTTGTTTTTTATGTTAGTTCATTGTTTTTTATTTTTTTTTTGTAAAAATGTTTTTTTTTTTTTAATTATAACTATAAAATATAATAATAATGAAAGTATTTGTACAATAATCAATTGAACTCAGTATTTCAATTATTGCAACGTTGAACATAAACACAATCAAAAAAAGTTAATTACATTGAGGAAGATACGTCAATTACACCATTATTTTGTTCATTGATCATTGACAAAGATCTTATTTAAAATTTACTATAACAGTTGAGAACTATTACGATCAATAGCCAATTCATTGAGTTTGCTACTTGAGAACGCCCTTAATATAATTATGCGAGACAGTCTTAAAAATATTAAATTAAAACTTGATGCCATAATATGGCTGAGTACAAACTAAGGGTTAAAGCTTTATAAACATGATACAACTTACAAATAATTAAACAATTATATGCTTTAGAATCGATTCTAAAAATATGAAATCGTTTTATGGAAATGATTGTAACGATTAGATAAAAATGAATGATTAAAACAATTATCATAGTTTCAATTTTCATCCCTAGTACTAAACCATGATAGACTATATTGTTAACATCCCTATTATACGGTATGTTCTTTAAGAACATGTATATGTTAGGTTAGAGCATTTGTATATTTCATCATAGACAGTAAAGTGGATTAGTCATAACACAAAAAATTGTCGGTCCTGTGATCTCCAAGCCATTTGGACTATATTCAGATAATTGTTATTCGGAATCTAAAAAGTTTTAACGAAGAAATTTTTATTCATAAAAACTTTTATAGATTCCGAATATCAAATTATCTTAATACGTATAGTTGAAGATCACAATTTTTTGACTAACCTACCTATAGCAGTAAAGTCTCTGATCGCAAAATTAAGAATTTTTTAAAATAGTATGTGTAACATATAATTAGATTTTTGACTTTTCATCAACTCGCATATTTATTTACACTTATTATTATGAGGAACGCTAGTCTATATTGCAATCGTTCGCATCGGCTGATAAACAAACAAACCTTTTTTTTTCTGTTTTTTCATGCAGGCTAAAAGTTATTATTATTATCCTGACGAATCTGTTTTACATATTTGTAAATTTTATTCCGCCCATTGACAATTTTCAATCATAATATGTGTCGGTAAGACTTAAACACAATAAAGGTACGTATAACGATAAAATAAGTAATAACTGACCATATTTAATATCAAAATAAATATATTTATATTTAAAGTTTAATAGTATTTGCATTAAGCTAAGCTGCGTACAAATTGGCTATATATTAACAGGCCAAAAACCTTTAATAAAATTTAAAAATCCCACTGATTTTGTAAAGATTCAATTGTAAAACATGGCAGAAACAAAAAAACATGTAATTGTGAAGCCTTTTGGTAATTAATAAACAGTATTAATTTGAATCATTTTATGAAAATGATACATTGATTTAACATAATGTCTAAAAGTCATTTTCATACCAAATTATTAGTGTGTAAATGAATTTTCTAATTTTCATCTAATTATTAGATAAAGTTGAACTTCGACTGCCTGTTGATGTGTTTTGTTATAATCCTAAATATAAAAAACGAAGTGATTTGTTTCTTCAGGGTTTCGCTGAGGTTCAAGCACGAGACGCTAGCGATCCCACATCTTTTTATGCAATTGGTGGTATTCATGGTCTTCCTTTTGTTCCCTATGACCTTTTGCCTGATGAAAAAATACCATTAACTGATTGGCAAAAAGGAGAAACTAATCGCTGGGGTGGTTATTGTCATCATGGCGATATTCTTTTTCCTACTTGGCATCGACCATATGTTATGTTGCTCGAAATGCTTATTTATGAAGCTGCTAAGAAAATAATTTACACGGATCAAGAACAAAGGTAAAATTAATTTCTGTATCGTGAAATAACATCGCTCTTACTTTATATTTTGAAAACTGATCTATAAAAATTTATTACTTGAAATACTGTAATTATAATTTTATTTTTAACTTTACAAAGTTACCCAGCTGGAAAAGAAACCGACGAATACAAACAAGAACTTGAGAAAATTCGATTTCCATACTGGGATTGGGCCAGTCCATCCACTCTTACAAATGGTGTTCCCTCAATCATATTTGATGAATATGTTTATGTTGACAATCCAACCCAAAAAAATATCAAAATTCGAAATCCTCTTCGAGCCTTCACTTTACCAGCAGATCTTGGGAATTTAACACTTGTCGG